CCAGTCACAAAGCATAGAAATATATGTATTTCATATAAATGGAATCATACTATATACACAGCATCATCACACTCTATGGTCATTTTATACACACACACATACATACGTGTATATACACATACATAGTATGATTCCATTCATACGAAAGCCCAGAACAGGCAACTCTAGAGGCAGAGTCCATTAGCAGCTGCTTAAAGCTGGGGAAGGAGGGAAGGGAGAGGGCAAGGGACAGGCAGGGGGTTTCTTCTTCTTTTTTTTCTTTGAGATGAGAGTCTTGCTCTGTCGCCCAGGCTGGAGTGCAATGGTACAATCCTGGCTCACTGCAACCTCCGCCTCCCAGGTTCAAGTAATTCTCCTGTTTCAGCCTCCCAAGTAGCTGAGATTACAGACACCCACCATTACACCCAGCTAATTTTTGTATTTTTAGTAGAGAAGGGGTTTCACCATGCTAGTCAGGCTGGTGTCGAACTTCTGACCTCAGGTCATCGCCCACCTCAGCCTCCCAAAGTGCAGAGATTACAGGCATGAGCCACCGAGCTCAGCCAGGGTTTCTTTTACAAGTGATAAAATGTTCTAAAATAGATGGTAGTGAAAGCTGTACAGATCTGTGGATATACTAAAACCACTGAATGGAACACTTTAGATGGCTGAATAGTGTATGTAAATTATATCTCAATAAAGTTGTTTTGTTGTTGTTTTTAAGTGGATGCAGTGAAGGGGCTATCACAATCTTCCAGGTAAGAGATGGTGGTGGGTGGGCCCAGAGTGATGAAGGGATGCAGGGGTCCAGGAAACTCCAGCTGTGTTGGCTGGGGTAGGGGGTGAAGGGTGGGGGATGAAGGCCACAAAGGTGGCAGCCAAGCTAACCAGGCTGGGCCCAGGTGTCCCATTCCCACCATCTTCCCCAAGCAGCATTAAGTGCAGAGCTTCTGTAGTTGCACTGACCTTTTCTGTAATGTATAATGATACTGTTTCAATAATGAGAGCTGGCGCTTTAAGTCTGTGAGATTAAAATGTACCTTTCTGGAGGAGAGTAGGCTTGGGAGAAGAGCTTGGAAAACAGAAAGTCCTTGTACCCAAGGACTCCAAACAATGGGGGATGGGGTTGTGGATTACCACCCTCCCCCCCACAGCTTCACTGGTGGCTGCTTCCAAGTGGACTCCCCCAATGGTGGACACAGCTGGTGAGTCACGGTGAAGACAGGACTCACAAGGGGACTCAGCGAGGGGACTCAGCGCCAGGTGCACACACAACACCTATCAAGACAACATACTTTTACCACTGCACTTGGGGACAGCCCCTCAGAACCCTGAGTTCATCAATTCCATGGACTCTTGGGGCAGTGCACAAGGTCCCAAGCTCACCTCCAGGGTCTTTCTCTTGGGACCACAGCAACATGGACTGAGGTTCAAACAGAAGGCTCTTCCCAACCTGACTGTAAAGCTGAACTTGCATGAAGTTAAGGTCTGGAGATGCCAGCTCACACACGGCATCTAAATGCTGTGCTGGGAACTCCGAAGAGGGGACCTCCACCTACCCAGTATTTGTGCTGGGTCTGTTATTTACACAGAAGTGCTTGTTGCTTGACAATTTAGATAAAAATGTTACTGCCTCTCTGCATGTGTTGCAAACTCATGGTGTAAGCCACTAGAGCAGCTAATGGAGTCTTCACACATCATATCTTGTTAAAGAAGAGGGCCCTTCTCTACTGGAATCACAGCCTAGCAGCGAGGCGCAGCCACACATGGGAAGGCCGCTGAGCTTGCCTGGGCGGGACCACGGCTCAGCTCCGACCAACTACCCTCTGCCTCCATTTTTTTTTTTAGTGGAGCATATGAACTTCATTTTCAAATAGCAAGGTCCTATGTAAACCTCTCTTCCTGCTTATTCCCTAGTCCCCCAGTGGTAGGACAAAAACTGGACAGTTACACAGAAAATGTTTATCTACTCTGACCAACAAGCTATCTACCACTATGAGTCCTATAAACACCTTTACACTCTTGTCCATGTTTCCCAAAGTAACTGAGAAAAACGCAGTGCTAAGGGCATTCATGCGAAATGGATGGTTGCGCCCTGAGACGCGATTCAGCCGCTGGAGTACTAACAGACCCGGATAATGGGGTCGTCTGTTCATTTTACTATCTAGTTCATCATCCACATGTGCACTTTTAATTGAAACTTAACCTTTATATTTGATATTCCAGCACAGATAGCATCTTTAAAGGTGGAGATGGTAGGAGCTTTTCCCTAAGCAACTCCAAAAGAATTCTACGTTTGACTTCCTGCTGAGTTAAAAACAATCTGTGACACACCTGCCTTTTCATCCCCACTCCCCCATTTTGGCTCCTTCTGGGCAGGTTCTGGGGCAACCAAGCAGAGCCTCTTCAAAACCCTAGTTCAGCCCAGAGTCACCTCCAAGGTGCTTTTCATCAACCTTTCCCCAGCTCAGCTGCCAATCATCACCAAACTCTCCCAAGGAGAGGGAGAAGAGAGTAAATGTTCAGTCTACCCAACTCATTTCACGGGTGACCTCTGAAAGATTTCAACGCAGAGCCTGGGAAAGACAAGGCGGCTTTATTAGCATGCTGAACCACGGCCGCAGCCCCCTCCCCTCCCTCTTTTATGAGCCCTTGTTATATAAAATGCCACAAAGGGAAATGGGAAAACAACACCCTGGCAGTTCCGAACACAAGTTCCAATGGCCAGGCCAAACCCTGGCTGCTTACGAGATGTTATTTTTAGTCATTTAACAGGGGAACATTTCTAAAAGGCCGGAGAACAAAAGTTTTTCTTGTTTTCTTTCTTTTTAAACACACACTCACACACACAAAAAGATGGAGGTCCGTTCATTCGCAAGCAAGCCTCCTTCCCGGAGTTCAAATTTAAAGGCAAAGGCAGCCTGGAGTCGTAGAGCTCCTTCCCGAAGCTGCTTCAACCTTCAAACAGGATTTTCAAATGTTTCTTTCGGCTTATCTGAATTCCGGCATGACAGATAATAAATAGCGACTCATTTACTATCGTCATAAAAATTTAAACAGCCTTGAAATAGTTGCTACAATACAGAAGAAATGATCAAACCCAAGCTCGGAAGAGTCACTCCAAATAGTAAAACTACTGCCACGCACAAACATAAAGAGACATTGTTCCAATAAAAGCTCCTTGGGTTACTGGATTCCCCCCCCCCCCCCCCCCCCCCCCCCCCGCCCATTACTCTCTTTTTAATCTTCTACACGCAGCGTAAGAGTCAACAACTTCCCGTTTTACCCAGTGAAATAAGGGCTTAGTAGCCCTCAGCTATCTCACTGGACCAGATCTGGTGGCGGATTTTTTTTTTTTTTTGAAAGAAAGTATCTGATTTGATTCTACATAGTGATTAAACAGCTTTGTGCTCTGCGGAAAAGGGTCTTCCGACCCCTCCCCCTCCAAAAATGGCATCAAAGCAATCAAAATGGTAATGCCGGGCCTGGGTCCCCTCCCCCCGCCAACTCCCCGACTTCGCCGGGGCCGCGCGCCGGGGGCCCCCCTCCGGCGGGAATGGAAGCTTCCATTCCCCGACGGGGGCGCGCGGCCCGGGGCGGGGGGGCCGCGGCACTGACAGAAAGGGGTTAGTGCATTCGTCCCAGGTCTCCTGTCCAGCCCGGCGGCCGCGACCAGGCGTGGGCCTGCGCCACTGCCATCTTCCTTTCAGCAAGCCCGGGTTCCCCACCCCCCAACCCCGCTCGCGCACGCCCCCTCCCATCACTTTTTAACTTTAAAGACTCGAAAAGAACGCCCGATCTCCGAATTCTCCCTCGACAGGGTCGCTGGCAGCCACTTCAACCTCGTTCACATCTCTCCCCTACACCAGAAAATCCCTCGGGGGAAGGGGGCGTCCGATCAGGAGGCCCGGGCTGGGGTGGGGGGGTGGGGGCGCGGGGGTTGGCCCGGGCAGGGGCGCGCGGGGACGGGCCCGGCGCTGTCCAAGTTTGGCTCTGGCGGCGGCTGCCTGCATTCCGAAGGAAGCGCGATCGAGGGCGGGGGGAGCGGCGCGGGAGGGGGCGGGGCGCGCGGAGGGAGGGAAGGAGAGCTGGAGGGAGGGGGCAGTGGAGGGAGGGAGGGGCGCCACCGCCCCCGTCCCCGCCAGCGCGGAGGCCCCAGCGCGCCATTGGCTGCGCCGCTCAAAGTTCTCGGCTCGGGGCAGCGCGGGGAAGGGGCGGGCGCGCGAGTGAGGGGAGGGGGCGCGGCGGGGGAGGGACGGGGGAGGGGCGGGAGCCAAGGGGCGGGGGCGCGCGGCCGGCCGGGCTCCGGCGGCGGCATCTGTTCGTGGTGCTGAAACCCGGAGCGCTGAGCTCAGCGCAACTAAGTCACAATGGACAACTTTTCTCCCCCGAGGGGACCGGGAGAGGGGTGGGCGGCCGCGCCCCCATCGCGGGGAGCTTCTCGGGTGTCCCCAGCTACACCTCACACCCGGAGCCCAAAGTTGGGGCAGAACTGGGGGGACCGAGGGGCGCCTTTCTTTTGTTCCCCGGGAGCTGGCGTCAGGTTCCAAGAATGAAAAGTGAACCTGGGGAAGTGGAGGGGGGGCCTCGAGGAACGATTTCAAAACGAGGTTTGCCACGGAGCCCAGAAATCGCTTCCAAGGAGTTTGGTGTCCAGGCCCCCACGCCGCCCCCCTCCGCCCCAACGGCCACCTCAGCGCGAAGAGGGGGACTCCGAGCCGGGAGAAATCGCCACGTTCCAAAAACAAATTCTCCACCTCAAAATGGACGCCGGGCCGCGCGCCGCCTTTTAAGTGAGCTACTCTCTTCGGCCCCCGCCGGGCCCGGCTCTCCCCGCCGCCTCCGAGAACCCGGCTCTTTCTTTCCAGGAAAGGGGAGGGGTGGGGAACTTTGAGAATTGGAGACGGACCCCTCTGGGAATCTGAGCGCGCGGTGCCCAGGCTGGCACTTTTTAGGGCGCCGCCAAAGTGCCCAGCCACCCTCCGGCCCCATCCCGGGTGGGGCGCGATCCCCTCGCTTACTTGTTTGTCGCTGAGCGCGGCGATCCGCGGCTGCCTTTCGTGGAGCTGCTTCTTGAGGTCGCCGTTCTGTGGAAACAGGGAGGAGCGGGCTCAGGCCGGCCGCTCGGGGTCAGGTGCGCCCCAGCCCGACGGGCCGCGGCAGCCCCCAACCCGGAGCCCCGAGGGCAGGGTGGGCCGCAGCGCGCCCCAAGTTTCCCGGGCCGCGTCCCGCACGCGCGGCGGCCGGGCAGTGCCGCGCGGGGCCGCTTACCTGTGGCTGCCGCCTCATCGGGGCAGCTCGCGGGGCGGGGCGGGGGCCGAGGCCACCCGGCGGCGCCCCCGAGCCGTGCAAGTTTGCAGGCCGGGGTGCGTGTGTGAGTGAGTGAGAGTGTGAGTGTGTGCCGGGGGAGGGGGGAGGAACAAAGAGCCAAGTAAACACGGCGAGTCCGTGTCGAGCAAAGCTCATAAATATTCAAGTCGCGTCCTAATCTCCCCAACACACACACGCGCACGCGGAGCCCCGCTCGGGCTCCGGCCGCCACGCCGCCGTTCGCCAGCAGCGATCGCCAAAACTACTTCTACCCACCGGGCAGGTGCGCCTGGGGTGCGGGGGCCGGAGGGGAGGCCACAAGGGGGCCGCTTCGCACTCCCCTCCCCGGGAACGGCTCACGAAGGGGGCCCCCCTCCAGGCACCCCCAGTCATGCGGACCCTACATCACTTAAGAGGAGAAGCCAGGCTCGGGTCCCATGCGCCCTCGATTCCCCCAAACTGTGCAGGACTGCGCCGGAGGCGCGCGGCGGGGAGCCCCGAGGGGGTTCGGCGCGTGTGCTCACTCGCTCGCCCCCCGCCCCGGGGCAGGCTCCAGCCTGGAAGACCCCGAGAACGAGAAGAGAGGGCGCTGGAATCGGATCCCCCGACCCCCAGCCGCCACGCGCTCCCCCCGCCCCGGGACACCTACCTGGTGACGCGCGAGTTCCACGGCGAGCGCCTCGGGCCGGCTCTGCAGCTCCATCCCGGCAACTTGGACAGCACTTTGCGCTCACTTTGGCCCGGGCTCCCGGGAAGTTGCGCGGCACCGCGGGGGCCAAAGCGGGCGCGGGCGGACCCGGCCTCGGGGGCGGGGTGGGGGGGACACGAGCCCCCTCCCCCACGGCCGAAAGGGAAGGGGGCTGGCGAGGGGGGAAGAAAGGCTTCCGGGCCCCGCGGTGCCGAGCCCGCGGCCGCCCCAACTCTCCTCAGGCTGCCCGGCAAGTTGCGCGGGGTCCCCGGGCTGCCGGCGCGGCCCGGCGCATGGCCCCCCGGCGCCGGGAGCCCCGCGCTGCCCCGCGCGCGCCTGCCCCGCCGCCGCCGCCGCCTCCCGCGCGAGCCGCCCGCCGGCAGGGACTATATTTCCTCCGGCGCGCGCGCCTGGATCTCGCTGGGCCGCGGCAAAGTTGTGCCTCGGCTCGATGCTAATTCGGCAGTGCCCGGATGGAGCGGGCCGGGGCGGCGGGGGGCGGGGCCGGGACCCTCCGCCCGCCCCGCCCCGCCCCGCCCCGCCCGCGCCTGCGCACTGCGGCACCGCCGCGGCCCGGCGCCTGGAGCGGAGAACAAAAGTGGCGGCGCCCAGGAGTGCCCGCTCGCTGGCCGGGGGACAGCTCGGGCCGGGCGCTCGGAGAGAGGGGCGACCGCGGCGTCCTCCTCTGCGCCCCCAGGCCCGGCCCGGGGAACGCGGCGCCGTGCAATGCCGGGTCCGGGACACTTTCCGCCGGGAGGGTGCGAGCCCGTGTTTCCAGGTCTCCTCTCCCGGGCTCTGGGCTCCCTCCTTCCCCCCCTCCGCCCTCCCTCCGCTGGTTTATTTAAATTCTTCCGTCCCCTTCTGTCTACACCAGCGTCGCGACTGGGGAGATTTAAATTAGTCGCGTCGCCACATTCCCCCGCCGCCTGAAGGCCTCCGTGTTGTTTAAACAGCAAGAAATTTGATCTCTTGGTTCTTCCTTTAATGATTTTTTTTTTTTTACACTCACAATTAAACTCTCCACAGATGTCACTGGACTTCCTAAGACTTGTTAAAAATTGTAAACGGGCCCGGTCAATGCGACCTAAAGCATTTATAACTATAGCTGAGGAGTTCACGTTTCAGAACCCTCAGCCCCACAACCAGGAAGTCAGTGTCCCGGAGTCACGGTCACCACCGCGGGGCTGCCATCTTCATTCAGGTCCTGTTGGCAGCAGACTGGCACGTTTGAAACACCCTGGGGAGAAAGGGTGCCATCATATGTCAAAGTAAAAGTTTAAACTGTTAAGTCGTTATAACTTCAGATTCCTCTCCGGTGGCACAAAAGATACCCAAGCAACTATCACCCACAAATGTCCCTTTCAATTTAACGCCAACAGGTCACACATATCTTTTGTTGGCAGAAGTTATTGGCATTCACCCTTTTCTTTCTTTCCTCTTCAAGTGAGGCCCCCAGTGTTGTTCTGCTCTCTGTTAGGGCATTTGCCATAAATGACTTCACGTGCTTGGGACCACTAAACACAGATGGCCCCTCATCCCATAACCCAGCACCTCACCTCAAGAGCACGACAGAATGAGTCTCACTTAGAACTCTTTTTCAGAACACAAGAAACAGAGGGACATGTAGATGATCCTTACCTGAACCAAAGTTAGTTAACAGAAACTTGCAAACAGCACTTGCTTTAAGGCTCCACTGGAGGCCGACCTGGCACGGTGGCTCATGCCTATAATCCCAGCATTTGGGGAGGCCAAGGTGGGTGGAACATGAGGTCAGGAGTTAGAGACCTATCTGGCCAACATAGTGAAACCCCGTCTCTACTAAAAATCCAAAAAGCCAGGCATAGTGGTATGAGCCTGTAACCCCAGCTACTTGGGAGGCTGGGACAGGAGAACTGCTTGGACCTGAGAGGCTGGTGTGTAGTGGCTCAATCATAGCTCTCCACAGCCTCCACCTCCCCTGCTCAAGCAATCCTCCCACTTCAGCCTCCTGAGTAGCTGGGACCACAGGTACACCACAGGACCAGCTAATTTTTTTTTTTTTTTTTTTTTTTTAGACAGAGTCTTGCCAGGCTGGAGTGCAATGGCATGATCTTGGCTCACTGTAACCTCCGCCTCCCAGGTTCAAGTGATCCTCCTGCCTCAGCCTCCTGAGTAGCTGGGATTACAGGTGCGCACCACCATGCCCAGCTAATTTTTTTCTATATTTAGTAGAGATAGGGTTTAACCATGTTGATCAGACTGGTCTCGAACTCCTGACCTCATGATCCGACTGCCTCAGCCTCCCAAAGTGCTGGGATTACAGGTGTGAGCCACTGCACCTGGCCACTTTTTTTTTTTTTTTTTAGGAAGTGGGGTTTGCCCTGTTTTGCCAGGCTGCTCTCGAACTACTGGGCTCAAGCAATCCTCCTGCCTTGGCCTCCCAAAGTGCTGGGATTACAGGCGTGAGCCACCATGCACAGACAAAAGAGGAAGTTCTGTGAACCAGCCCAGGAGTCCTATACTCCCACTGCAGGCATGCATTTTCCTGAACGCATCTTGCACACCAGATCTCCCTTCGCCCACGCTGTGCCCTCTGTCTTGGATGCCCTTTCTCATAACCCACCTTTTAAAAATCTGTTACATCCTCCAAGATTCACTCCGAGTACCTTTTCTGGGAAAATTCCCCTGTTTTCTATGCATAAGTTCTTTATCCCTCCCCTGGGAGGCCCACAGCAATGATGGTGAGTGAAAATGAAGAACTCCCTTAACATAAGGGGCATTCTGTCCCCTAATGAGGGCAACGGTTTTCTTCCCCAGTGGAGCCAGAGCCAGCTCCTGTGGATACAGCACAGTGTTTGCATGCTAAAGGAAGCCCTGGAGTGCCTGGAGCTGAGTGGGTTCTTACTGGATGAATAAATGAGTAAGGCAGTGAATGAATGAATGAATGAATGCATACGTACGTGAGTGAGGCAGTGAATGAATGCATGCATGCATGAATGAATATGGAGAAATCTATTCCATTTGGGAGAAGGTGGGCTGTTGGTAATAACCACAGAAATGAGCAGTGTCTGCATTAATCTCAACATCCACATTTCTCCTCACCTACCTGGATAGTGTGGAGGGGAGTGGAGCCTGAAGGTCTGGGTTTAAGACTTGAGTCCACCCTTAACAGCCCCGTGACCTAGGGCAGGTCACTCAAGCGCTCCTAGCCTTCCTTTCTTTGGATGTCAGGTGGGAATGTATCAAAATAACTCCCAGATTCACTTGGCTCCTCCTGCCCCGGACCTTGACCACCTGCTCAGTGGAGAGCCTCGATCGCTGTCCGTCGGTGGCTTGGCCTGTCTGAAGGTGAGGGCCAGCCTTCAGCCCAGCCTCTGCAGTTGGGGGTTTGCGTTGGCTCTGGCACCCAGGTCCACTCCTATGGTCTCATGGATTTTGTTGCCCAGGCTGGAGTGCAATGGCGTGGTCTTGGCTCACTGCAACCTCCATTTCCCAGGTTCAAGGAATTCTCCTGCCTCAAAGTGCTGGGATTAAAGGTGTGAACCACCACACCCAGCCCTTCTTTCACTCTTAAAGGGGTCCCAGCTTGGATGAAGTCTATGGTCAGCCTGGCGCAGGGCATGGAGGCAGAATTCCCCTTCCACCCTGCCCGAGTACACAGCCTGCTCTCTTCCCAATTCTCCACTTTGTCTTACACGGACGGGCACTGTGCCCTTGGTCTGTGACAGTAGCCAAGGTCATGTATGCTCAAGTCCCTGCTATAAAATGACGTAGTATGTGCATATAATCTATGCACATCCTCCCGTGTACTTCAAATCACCTCTAGATTACTTATAATCCCTGACACAATGTTAAAGCTATCGAATTGCTTTATGACTGTATTTTTATTTGTATTCTTTTTGATGGTTTTTATTCTTTTTTTCTCTCAGAGATTTTCGATCCCGGCTTGGTTGAATCTGTGGATGCAGAAGCTGCAGATATGGAGGACCCATGGTACTCACTTTAGCTAAAGGACATTTTTGTATTTTTAGTGGAGACGAGGTTTCACCATGTTGGCCAGGCTGGTCTCAAACTCCTGACCTCAGGTGATCCACCTGCCTTGGTTTCCCAGAGTGCTGGGATTACAGGCGTGAGCCACTGCTAAAGGGCTTTATTAAAGCCAGAGAGTTACACACCTGTAGTCCCTGCTACTTAGGAAGCTGAAGCAGGAGGATCACTTAAGCCCAGGAGTTCAAGGCTGCAGTGAGCTGTGATTGCACCATTGCACTCCAGCCTAGGAGACAGAGTGAGACCACCCTTCCTCAATAAAGTAAAAATCAACAAAAGGCCCAGAGAAGATAAGAATTTGTCCCAGGCCTTTGTACTCATATAGGCTCCTGCTTCAATCCTGACTGTGAACTAAAGTGAGCATTTACACCGACTTTTCTCCTATAACAGAATGACTGATATTCCTTTGGGTATGTACCCAGTCATGGGTTTGCTGGGTCAAATGGGATTTCTGGTTCTAGATCTCTAAGGAACCTCCATGCCATCTTCCACAATGGTTGAACTAATTTACATTCCCACCAGTGGTGTAAATGCACTCCTATTTCTCCACAACCGCACCAGCATCTGTTTTTTGTTTGTTTGTTTTGAGACAGAGTTTCGCTCTTACTGCCCAGGCTGGAGTGCAATGGCATGATCTCCGCTCACTGCAGCCTCCACCTCTCAGGTTCAAGCAGTTCTCCTGCCTCCACCTCCCAAGTAGCTGGGATTACAGGCATGCGCCACCACACCCAGCTAGTTTTGTATTTTTAGTAGAGGTGGGGTGTCACCATGTTGGTCAGGCTGGTCTGGAACTCCTGACCTCAGGTGATCCGCCCACCTCAGCCTCCCAAAGTACTGGGATTGCAGGCGTGAGCCACTGCGCATGGCCACATGTGTCGTTTCTTGACTTGAAGACATTCATGCGGCCAAGAAACATGATAAAAAGCTCAACATCGCTAATCATTAGAAAAATGCAAATCAAAACTACAGTGAGATACCACCTTATGCCAGTCAGAATGACAGCTTCATTTCTGACTTCCAGCCTCCAGGGCTGCAAGAGAATACATTTCTGTTGTTTAAAGTTGCCCAGTTTATGGTACTTTGTTACGGCGGCCCTGGGAAACTAATACGC